CCGCTTGCAAATCACCGATTTGTCCCAGGTCCACAATCACCAGCACCCCAACCCATACCACTACTCGACCGTCGTTTCGAGTCACAGCATGTAAGGACTGATGTGTTTCAGACCAGCCTAGAATCAACTGCGTCTCGTGATTCGGTCGGAATGCGATTTGTGTCAGAATCAGATCTTCTATTCCTCGGTTGGTCAAAATCAATTTACCCGCTGTCTCCGCCAACCGTAAGGCACTTTCACACGAAATTACTTGGGGTTCTTCACCCCATAGGGATTTAAGACCGGAATTTTTGTTGCTCACAAGAAGTTTCAAACTGACTTTAGACCCCATTGTGCGCACAAGCAGAAGTATCCCGAGTCGAGTGTTTATCAAACCAAAGTCCCTTAGTGATCCACTCGCGGTGTGCAGATACATGTTGGGCTGATATTCCGCAATTTCCAGGGGATCAAGAAACGCGCAAACAATCGGATTCTGTGATTCGTCGAGTTCACTTTGAAACACAGTCAATATTTGAACACGATTCATTGTGCGGTGCAGAAAGGCCAACTGCGTTCCACCTTGTGAGGGCCAATTCATCAACTGTTCCGTATGAATGAAAGCATCCAGAGATTTGGCGTTAACCTCCGCGCCAGACCAACTATGCACCGGACGAGTGCAATCTTCATCAATGTCGTACAGACCTAAGCTGTCGGACATTGAACGTGTTTCTTTTTTATTACTGACAAACATCAGTGTTGGTAGCGAATCATTGGTCACATATTCCAGTGAATGAATAGTTGGTTCAAACGTTAACGGCTCACCGGATGATTCTGTACTGGTAAGAATTTTTCCACTGGTGTCTTCCACTTCGGCGACCGTAGGTGTGTCGTACAACGTACTGCCAAGCTCGGCTAATTTTTTCTCCGGTTTACTCAAACAGTCCACATTGTAAATTTTACACATGATGAACATTGCCTGATCAGGAGAGTCTCCATACTGTGGAGCCGACTCGTCCGGGAAGTGACAAATCACAATCACCGAACCCCGTTCAGCTTCACCCTGATTCCAACCCGGCTCTGTGGCAACCGCCACCGGTGGTGGTGGTGACAGGCCGCAGATAAATCCTTCGGCCGAGCCTTGACTCACGACACGTAACAGGTGGCCGGTTGTGGTGCTCCAAACCAGCATAAAACATTTCTGGCCGGACGTGAATAGCACATCGTTATCATGGCTGAACACAGCGATAGATCCGTTTCCGAAGTTTCCGGTGTAACTGGTTGATCGAAATAAAATAACCATAATCATATGTGTGAATCAGAAATCTTGTTATTTTTTGTACATCATGAATTGTTAAGACACAAACACATGATCTACAACTGATCATATTCATCTATACGATTCAAACACGGTATCCCAGACAGCCAAACAGCGTAGCATTTATCAATTGTAGCTTATTGTTTTCGCACTGTAAATTGTTGCAGATGTGCATATAGGGCAGACCTGTTGCTTGTTTTATACGAAAACCTCCACATATCTCGCCCTGTTATTTGTCTAATAAACGCATTTAGAAGAGCAATTCATTCACATGAAGTATTCAAGCTGCATCTAATAATCTGGTATCCTAACCGTGGAAACCTACAGTTTCAGTTGTTCATGTATTTTCTATAATTGATGTACTTAAAAGCAAGACAAAAATCTCTTTCAATGACGCGGACTGAGTATCTAGATTCAGTCAGTCTCATTGGGAGAAAACACATATTGGTGATCGTCCCAGTACAACAGTCAGTATACACTTCTGAACTCACTTGAGTATATCTCTTTGAATGGCATCTCCTTCGACACTGAACGCCTCATTCTCCGTGTAGTTGGGTAGCTGAAGCTCTACAAATTCCTCCTCATTATGATCCCATATGACACCGAACCCTTGCGCCTCTCGACGTCTAGCCGAATACAAGAATGCAATTAACTCCGTATTGTGACTGGTGAACGATGAGACTTCGGTAATTTTCAATTTGCTCGGCACTGGGAGTGGATAGGTTTTAGTTTCCTTCAGATGCCATGGTTGCAAATTGATCCGATCAACCACAGCATCTATGACAACCTCTGGGATTTCGGACGCCTCGGTCACAGTCTGATAGGTCCGAAGACTGTATTCATCCGCGTTTCGTTGTAGACTCACGACCGTGCCCAAATAGAGAACGGAGAGGTTGATCAAACACTCCTCATGTGTTTTGGGCAAGACAGCCATTCGATGCGTCTTCGTATCGATCACATAGGCAGCCAAATCCAGTGAGAAACAAATGTGTTTCACAAATGCACAATACCAGAATAAATCCTGACGTAAATCACCGTGGTTGACTACAATTTTTTGTTTATGCCAGTTCCCTAGCACAAACACATCGTTCACCTTTGCTGCCAGCCATGGTTCCATAATCATTACGGTATTCTGGACTGTGAATATTTTGGACCATTCGGGGCTCAGTATGCATACATTCGTCACACGACCAGTAAAACAGTCCAGTTCAGCAACTTTCATAATCCGATTTGGCTCCGTGTCACTATCATCACTGTCCGAAATAGTGCCTCGACGTGAGCGCAATCCATGCGGTTCGGGAGAACTTTGTCGATCCGGTACAATTGCCAGAACCTCCGGTTCAGCTGGAACCGCTTGACGAAGCAGACCTTTTAGAGTAAAAACCGAGGCCTCGGGGAAGGGCAACTTTTTGACAAGTGTTCCATCCAGATCGTACCAACTCACAGTCTCGTCAGCAATGGGAATCACAAAAATGAGATTGTTTGACATTAAACACCCGATTCCCATACCTAAATCGAACGCAGTATGAAGCGAACCACTGCCGGAATCGAAACCCAGTGATCGGGGAAATAGTACACAATGTTCCAGACTTTGAATACGACATCTTTGTAATAACCCCGTCAAGTATTGTTCACCATTCAGTATATTTTTTAAATGTCCCGTAAACAGATTCAGACTGCCTCGACCTCGCGTTCTCCTTGAAGAACTCAATGTGCTCAAATTGGAACTGTAACGCGACCCTCGACGGTACGCGTTCAATGCGTTTGGTGCATTTATCACCGGTATGGGAGACAAACGACCTAGCAGATCAATAGGCAAACATTGCGGATTCGCATCCAAACTCAAAGCGGAAATACGCAAACTGTTGAACAGTAGTGATAACTGTGCAACTGGACGTTCAGGACGATATTTGTTCAACTCCTCCAGTGATGCGACTCCAGACGGATAGAACGACATGGCCAAACCACCTTTGCGGATCTGTGTATCCTTCACCGGGGAATCTATATCCCCCTGTTTGGACGGCGAAGAACGTCGAGCCTGCTCCTTGAGGAATCCTTGATAGTCAGCTTCAGGTAGTTTCAGATCCATTAAAAGTTGGGATCTGTAGATAAAAGCGGGAATTGATTAGTTGAGTTCATCTCCCTGATGGAACAAAAGTGCATTCAATATCCCATTGCTGGTGAAATTCTATCAATATTTTTGACTGATGTAAACAAGATAACTTTGTATTGACCCCCCTTTTCCGTGCATTGAAGTTGTCAGAATGAAGGTCCAACTGAGTTGCTGTGCTGTGGTCCATTCAAGGGCTTACAGCATACCTTTTAACTTTTGCGCAGATCCGCGAAACACATATCGAATGGTATCTTTTTTAGCTGGGGTTCAGAAAACACTGATTTATTGAACAACGTCACCGGCTATTCAATTTATGGCATCCAACAGCCTAGATGTGCACTGTTATATGCCCTCAAGTAAGTATGCAGCATTCAGCGGGACGAAAACAGTGAATCTTCTGTGCAAATAACCCTCTGCCGTTAAATTACCCATCGATCCAGCGGGGTCCTAGTTAACGGTAATCTGGGCCCACAGTAGACTACAGAGGTGATGTGTAAGTGGCATGAGTTTCTGAAACACTTTTTGGTTCGTATGGGCAACAGTATTTATACTGAAGTAAATTATTTTTCAAAATAATAACAAATAAGCTTTGGTGAGTCTTTATAGCGGTGATTTTCGTGATTCGTTTGTACGCATCTATTAAATCTAGATTATTATTATGAAACCTTATTTGCTACAAATTCTCCGGGTTGGGAAAAGAATTCATTTGGTTATTCAATAGAGTTGCTATAATAGATTACACACTGGATGAAATAATGTCTCATAACAAATAACTGAGATGGCAAGGGTTTATGGAACTCATTCGGGATATCTCTTGAGTCATTTCTTTTCGAAAATTGTGCGTTTTCATACTTAAAAAAGCTTTTGATTTTCATGTGGAGGTTATTTTATCTTGGCAACCAAGATTAGGCACGTTCAATTGACAATCATGCAGCCTAGAAACTACGCAGATCGAAGTAGATAAGAGATAAATTATTGTCGAACCCCAAAGCAATAATAAAGGTGATAGATTTAATGAAACTCAATTCGATCAGAAAGAAAATATTTTGGTGTATCACGATCGATCAGTACTGTACGTTTTGTCAACCCGAGCGTTGCCCATCTATCACTGATAATTCGGGTGTTTACATTTCTACGCTTACACTTCATTCACATACTCCAAAATCTTGGGTAACATAGAAAACCGGTCATTTCTGAACTTTAACTAAAACTGCCTAAAATGAGGGATAATGACACGCACACACACATACACAGATACCTCGTGAAACAAACCAATCAAATCCGAATTGTAAAAACAGAAAACTTTCCCTAGGGTTCGATTCCATAGTGTACCCCACATATCCGTATCAAGCAAAATATTAACACAAACCTGGATGTTCCGCGCAGCTTGTTGTACAGGTACTCATAGTTGAAAGCCACCTCCTGATAGAATTCTTCCACGCGTCCTGAATGGACCAGATGCCATGGTAGTTCATTTAGTTTACGCAAGTTCAAATGCTGTGTTCGTGCATTTGCTTTATGTTCCTCAAAAATGTACGGTTGTTGGGGCATTCCTCGATCCTCTTCACTGTACTCCGGTAAGTTCTGATCCGTCAGACGGGCGTGTATGTGATGTGTTTAAAATATATATATATATATATATATGAAAATCAATCCAAACCAACTACTTTGTAAATAATATAAAAGTGCACAACTCCTTCCGTCGGATAGACAAGCAAAGCATGCAAAAATTTGCCCGCTCTCGTGCTTCAATCCATACTCCCCCCCCCCCCCCCGGGGGAGAAGAATAAATAGTTTTTTCAGAGGAAATTTCTTTTGCCTAGAAATTGACCTATTGATTAGTTGGATATATTCAAAAGTTAATACCATCCCGACGAATTAATTCAGAAATTGACTAACGAAAAATCGCGTTGATGGACGAGCTCGATCATGTCATTGAGCGAGATAGATAACTGGCGACAATGACTAGGGTTCAAGTAAACAATTAACATACTGTGTGTTACTAACCTGTCTGATAACTGATCATTTTCTATGGTCAAAACTGAAAATCCCATGTTTTCGATGCTGCTTCAATCCACACAGATAATATCAGTTAACTGTTACAGGAGACGACTGAATAAAGTTTTGGGATAAACATTTCACATGGTGAAATTCCGCTGAACAGTAAACAGGGATGAAAAATAGAACGAAGACCTAGTTCAGGATTTTCTTTATCTCAAATATGCGCGATTGCTTTCGGTTGCCACTTCGTCTTCCTCGCCTCCAATTAAGCTCCTTCCCCCGCAATATTGATCAAATTCAGTGATCCTTCTCCCAATCGGATTCCGCGGTGGTCAGGATCTCATTACGTAGTCTTCTAGTGTGGTTCTTAGGTGATGTAGATAAACTTGTAAATAATGTGTTCCCGGGTTAGCTCTTTGTCCATTGGCAATAAGATGTTGCAAGATTGAGCTGTTCAGGCTGCGCACTGATATTTTTTCGAAGAGCGGCCGGACAATCTTCAGACATTCGTTTATACAAATACTTCGTTGTGTTTCCGGTATAGCAAGCATCACAAGTGCACGTGAACTGATGTCGAACAAAGGATTGGGACTGGTGCGGCAATTTATCCTTAAGCTGTCGGATAGTGAATGGCTTATTCATTGATGAAAGTCTTAAATGCGCCGCGTGGTTGGGAATGTCTTTTGACAACCTATCTATCCTCCGGGATTTCCAATGCTCTGTCTACCCTGAAAAGAACATTCACCAATATCTCCTTCTTTCTAGCTATTTGTGATTTTAAACCGTTTGATTCGGATTCTAGATTTCGTCGAATGAATATCTCTTGGTAGCTCTTTCTCTGCAACATACCTCTTGTGTGGGTGGGTCATCTAGTTATTTACTGTCACAGGACTACAGATTTCCTTCACTCTGTAAGCCAGAGAGTACACTGTATTCCTTTTATATCTCAGTGAGACGAAACTTTGAAAATATCTGTACTGTCCTGCCCACATGCCCTTACGGTTTACTCATCTTTCCAATGTGGTCATCCTCCGTGCTACAAAAGCTAACGTCCAGAAAAGCGAGAAGGTGGTTTGTTTGTTTTTCCTATCCCCGTCACAAATCGTATTCCTGAATGAGCGCTGAAAAATACTTGCAGAAGTATATTGGGCAAGTAACATTACAATCTGGTTCAAACGGTGCTGTTAACATGGCCTAAGTGACACCTTTTTCACTCTCCCCTCTCTTCTCATTTACTGTCTTTCTCCTGGTTCACAATTTCACACCTGTTCTATTCATCCTTGACTAACACTTTTCCGTTGGTGCCCACTTTACACTTTTTATCTGGCTTTTTCTCTATCCACATTTAGCGCCACCCCAAAGCTTATTATCAACTGAACACAGTGCACAGTCACACACACACACACGCACACAAATCCACTCAATATCAGCTAAGGGCGTGTATTAATCTATTGACTAATGGAAACAGATGTGCAAATGCCTAAAGCGATATGCATCAAGAAGAAATCTTTTCTAGTTTTCACTTTATTCTTATGCATTAACGTGGAATATTTTACAATACTATTATTATTATTATTATCATTGTGTTATTAAATTACTGGATTGGCTCACACATAATCTATAGATGTAATCCACCGGTGAACGTGTGGATCGCCAATTTACTTACATTGGACCAGATAAAACGTCAGTTGTACGATTTTCAGTTTTTTTTTTCAATAACCCTTGTCCTATTGCGAAATTTGTTGAACAAGGAAATGGAAAATTTCAACATGAATTCCTTACCAACTTTTTGATCAGGTATTCGGGATAATGAAAGACCTTCTTACGCCCGGCCCATTTTCCAAGAAAATAATCGGCCATGATAGAGTGTATTTTGCGTTTGAAAGCCAAATCGGAAAAGAAATATTTCTGGGCGGCTTCAATAAACTGCCGATGGTACCTACACGAGACACAACGAAGAGAAATAAAATATTCCGTCAGAAAACTAAATGGAAAGGGACCGAAAACAGTGATTTATTTGAATGAGGACAGAAGCAGGCGGAAGCGAATTTCTTCCGGGATTCGAATTTCGTGTCTTTGGAGCTTAACGAGTGCGTTTCTTTACGAGAAATTGTTTTTTTTCTAATATGGGCAATTTGTAATCCCACGCGAGCACGGTTGGAAACCCACATCTATATTGTTTATCAGTACCTCTCACTAACCCACCGAAACATACACATCCAATCGCCCCGTGTTGATTCAGTTTCGCCAAGTGGTGTTAGGTCACCAAATTGTGACCCGGAGGTCCCGGGTTCCAACCGCTCCACCATCGCCCGTGTTTCCTATTTCTGTATTTCCCCAGACTGCCTTTGTATGACCAATCTCCCTTTTCCTGAATGTTCACTGTACATTTGTATATTCAATAAATAAAAGAGAAGTATGAGACATTATTATTATTTATTATTATTGTTGTTCACATTAAATATATTTTTCTCTCTCCGCCAATCTGCAACAATGTGTTTCCGCTCTTTGCAGCTTGGCGAACGCTTTGTCCCTAGGTTGAACTTTCATTCGTACGCGTACATTCTTCTGAGCCTTCGAGTACACGAAAAACGTAATTTTAGTTGTGTGTGTAATACGAACTAGTTTTGTACATCCCACCAACACTCTGTGTTATTTATTCAAGTTTGACTGCCTGGAAAATAGTGAAATAGCACAAGCCAATTATAAACACAGTCGGATCAGGTGAAGCAAGTAATATTTCATTTGATACAGTTATTTCCGCTTAGACGTGAAACATTCATTTGGGAAGAGTTTCTCAACCAAATAGGAAAACAAATGTTCCAAGGGGATGAAACGCGTTTGTCGCCTAAATGATACATGTAAGGATACTGGGTGGAACCCGTGACTGTCAGGAGAACATGTTAACCTTCTTGTATGGTTACTAAATCGGAACAAATGTCCAACTTTATTCAGTGTTGCAATCAAGAAAGATGCACACACACACACGCGCACGTATGTCGCAAAACAAACACATACGTAAGCCATATTTGTAGTTCCAGACTTAATCAATCAAGCTCGGCTTGCTATCTCACAGACAGATGCTGTTAAATATATTCCGGAATGATAGATAATTCAGTCGTTTATGCTTGTAGGACGTTCGGTATTGACTGTGATCTTCCTCCGCTGACGTCACAGAACACGCGCGGTATGATTCTGTCTCACACAGAAGCACACACACACACACGCCCCGCGATCAATGTGCATTCTCAACCGAGATCAGCCAAAATAAATACTGCCACGACGAAAAGCGATCCACGGAAATGTGTGCTCGTCCAGAGTTCGTGTTCATATGTGGCGGGTAAAATCATACTGTGAGGATGGATTGTGAAACGTAGACTATCAATGCAACTACCCATTGTCGTTGAAGCGTTCTCCCCCAAATGCCACCGAGGAAAGGCAAGCGTTCTCATTTGACACATTGGCTTGGCTTTTCCACATCTGGCAAACGGCTCTCGGAATCGAATACACAACTCCATAAATCATATTTTCACAACCTGTGAGTATTGTCGACTTTTTGTCTTTTTCTTCTAAATATAATTGAGGGTTTTGGTAACCATAACGACCCCATTCTTATTAAAATTGACGGTTTCTCTTTGGAAGATAACGTGACAATAACGGACAAGATTATATATTCGGTAAAGAGCGAAAAGTAACAGTACTTTGTTCCGATTTTTGTGCAAAGTCATTGTGATCCACGTAGCCTGGTTTATAATCCACTTTACAAAAATCTCGCTACCCAATCCTGCATTCAAAAACAATGATAATGGAATAGTTTTAATTTAAAACCTGAATTTGATTGTCTCATTAAAGTCTGAGTTCGACATCTAACTCACAGTTGTGAATAGTGATAAGGAGTAGATGATATTGCTTTGAACTGACTTCCCGTCGAACTTCCGCTTCGCGCACATTCCTCAGCTCTTGCAGTCAGCAATACATTCGAGAGCATTGCAGACTCGAGTTTCGTTCTCATTAGATCTCATCAATTGTGCATATCCACCGTCCCATCGGGGGTTTGAACTCTGGACCTCTCGCATGGATGCCTTGTGTGTTACCACTGTGCCAACCAGCTCGTGGCATGGCTAAACCAAATTGCCAATTCATGTTTGTTCAGGTGTTGTTGTTGGTGATAATCAGTCAGTTCACTGTTGGCTCGAGACTTTTTTGTTTAATTATGAGAACACAATAGAATGCACTCAAGGAAAGTGCTTTATATAAAACATTCACTTTTTTCTACAGAGCTACCCAATACCTCGACCAATAAGTTCGTTCGAGGTTTCCGAAGAAAGCTGATTTTATCAAAATCAGTGGGCATTAAAACGGTTTTTTACACTATGAGTGCGTCCTTCCCGTTCACTATCGGTTAAACCACGCTAAGACTACATAAGGTGCTGCTTACAAGTCACATCTAAAAGACATCAACGATATCAGCAACCGGCCATTGATTCCGTTTTTGAATCTCTATTGGAAAAGTACTTTTCTGACAAATAGTTTACTGCTATCGGTAAGTGAATTAAACAAGTTTCGTTATCTTGGGAAGACATCTCATTGGGCGGAAAAGTCACAGATGAAACGTCGGCGAGCATACCGAAGGCTTGGTTGGCATTTACCAACTGGAGACATCTGTGGCGCTGTCGCGATATCCGGCTGTCTGTGAAGGATCTAGTATTGCTGCGGCAGCTCGGCCAGTGCTGCTCTGCGATGCAGAGACCTGGTCACTACAGGAACAGGATGAACATAGATTGTCGGTGTTCGAACACCGCTGTCTACGTTGCATTGCATGAGTCTGGTAGAGTGACCGGACGAGGTCCAGACGTAGAGATTTTGGTAATCACGGTCGGCCACTGGAGCATGTGATCGATCTCCCTGGATTACAGTGGTTGGGGCATGTATTACGCATGTCACCAAATAGGTTTCCACGGCGAGCGATGTTTGCTGAGACAGGTAGCGATTGAAAAAAAATCAGGGTGGTTAAACGAAGACTTGGCATGAGGGTATGAAAACTCTAACCAGGAGATTAGGTCACATAGGTCCCGTTAGGCTCCCTGTCCAGGGACCCCGAGATCATGGTCATCGATGGTTAGAGACACTGAGTGCTATGGCTGTGTATCACAAACAGTGGCGCTCGTGCATCCACTCGTTATTCTCCTAACACCACTCTATATGAATTCACAATCTTCCGCTTGAATTTGCTCTCGACAATCCAATCTTCATTCTGCTCTTTTATCTAAATGGGTGGCCAAAACGGCGCACGAAACTGCATGGTTAATGGTTGTAAAAACTGAACTGAACGGAACTGCTATCGGCTGCTATTTGCATCAGCTACAATTAGTCGCATGTTGATCTAGTCTGAAAGGATTCTTAATTTTTGTTCATTGATCATCCA